TCTAGAAATAATGGTAAACTTTTAAAACTACTGGCTGATTTCGATATATGTACACATTAGACGGTTCGTTGAGTAAAATGTTTTTTTTTGGAAAATACTAGGGCCTTCACACCTAGCTTGATACTCGGTAACTTAATGTTCGGCAATTTTTTCCCATATATATATATTTTTTTTTTTGTATTGTAAACTTACTTTATTGATAGTTGGTAAGCTGCAATCAGCTGTTTGATATTTATTCAATTTAAAATCCACCCGCTGCTGACATATATGACTAAGTAATCTATTGATAAACATAGTTTACCAGACTAACAAAATAAAGCTGAAAAGGATGTTACCAGTAGATAAAATACCGAGTACCAATAAATAGCTTACCCAAACTAACGAAATGGGTGGGAAAACCCCCGCCCTTCGCCGGGCGAAAAAGACTTTGGAGAGCCACATAACTCTTAGCATCAGAACTTGAAGTAAAAAATAAAAAAGTGAAATAGCTTTTGAGATTTTGCGAAATTATCATATTTTTAAAAATTGATAAAACTATATTTTCATCATTTTCCAAAGATCTCCAGTTTTACTTTTTCGATCTCTAAATGTTTTCACCAGATTAAAGATCATCAAATTTGTTATAAACCTACTACATAAGGTTTAAGAGTTATCTGCAAATTTGGATTCACTCAACGTATCGATATCGTACAGTGCATTTAACGAAAAATCAATTAAAAATATTATTTCCTTTGACATGAATAGGCACACGGCAATTAGAAAAATGGCTGACAAGCGAATACTAGTAGTATGGACTACCGGGTTGGCAACCAGTCGATTTGCTATTTATATATCGCTTATTCTTACAAGGCAATACTGGAAACTGGCTTTCAACTTATCACAGTCTTTCGTAAGACAATTTTCAATTCAGGCTTGATTGCTCTTTACTGACATTCGAAAGACTAATTAAAAAATCTGCCAACGAGGAAGCCTTAGCGTTATGCAGCTTGCCATTTAGAAATCAGTTTTTTAAATTAAATGTAAATGTAAATAAAAAATGTACCTATATATACTCCATTTAAAAAAATACAAATTAATTAATAATAGAAAACTAAATTAGAAATAGAAAAAAGTTTAATCTAAAAAGAAAGAAATAGCACTTAAAACTTTAATTAGATTAAAAATATTTTTTGTATCAAAAATCGGCAAAAAAACAATAAAAAAAAATTTAATAAGATCCTAAAAATTAAATGAAATAAAAAAAATTTATTTTTCTTAAAAAAAAAAAATAAAATCTAAAAATTAAAAGAAAATGGAATTCACAAAAGAATAACAAATTTAATTTAAAAAGAAAACTAAATTTCCAAAAAGGAAATGAAATTAAAAAAAAATTTTTTAACAATAAAATCTAAAAATTTAAACAAAAAACTAAAAAATATATACACGAAAAAAATAATTAAATTCCTAAAAATAAATAAAACTTAAAATTATTATTTTCAAACCAATAACAACCAAACCTTTGAAAAGAAAATAAAAAAAAAAATAAAAAATAGAGATTGTTTAAATCTTAAAAATTGATTAAAAAAGAAAAAAAAAATAGATAAAAAAACAAAACAAAAATTGTGATAAGAAATATGAAATTAATATGTACTTATTTTTCTGTGCAATTTTAGGCACGAAAATTCTATAATTAGAATTGCATGCATTTTTTCCGTTTACTTCTGGTTTTTTTTGATTGCGTTGATATTTACGGCTTTATTTTGGGCGACTACTTCAGGGTGTTCGGGGTTCTCGCAACAATTTGTGATTTTCATGACTAAATATATCGGTATTTTCGGAACTATTACGGTATTTTCCAGAATTTTCCGGGACTATTTCGGGATTTTCGAAAGTAAGCAGTTTCACTGCATAAGTCGTAAATTAGATGAAATTACTAGACAACATTGGCATTGCCAACTGTCGCGCTGAAATAATTAGGGGACGAAATTCATCTAAAACTATGTAGTGCTACGAAGTTTTCTCGTTTTAATACACAAGTCGAGTCGAAAGTTTAAGCAATGCCAGCAATTATCGGTATGACTCCGGTATGAGGCTGAAAATTTCTCTGCGATTTGCTTGTTTGAACTGAGATGAAGTGTGTTCAGGTGAGTTTAAATTAGCTGAGTTGAGGTGGGTTGAAGTGGGGTGAGGTGAACTGAGGTGTGTTAACGGTTAGGCATCTCCAAATATTTAGTAGTGGTAAGATGATAATATGTTAATTTTTGTTAATTTAATATTTTTATTTCTAATATTATCCGCAAGAGGAGCTGCAACTGAAAAACCACCTATCATCTTTAAACACTTTGTGAAAATATTTAAAAAAAAAAATAAAAATTGGTTTCCCGTATCAAACATTTATATTTCCATCGTTTTGCATAAAAATATGAGCTTATTTACTTTAGACAAATTCGAATTATTATTTTTTTAATAACGTTTATTTTTCCGCCGTTTCTGTAAAATAATCTATTGCTGATATATGATTTTTTGATTGAACACTCCTCATATCTTAACCGAACATACTATGTGTGTAAGTAGAGGGTTTTATTTCGGTTCTATTTCCAACCCGCTAGTGTCGGCAGCAATAGCAATCAAATATCGCTGTATGAGTTGGTCATCAAAATATATCAGCATTTAATAAAAAAAAAATAAAAATTTAAGTGAATGGGTCACGAGAATACATATGTACACAAGAGTATTTGTTGCGACAGAATGTGCAGGAAAAAAATTGCATTGTGCATGTGGATGCATACCTATTCTTTCATACAAGTATGTATGTGCATTTGAGTATGAATTTGTATTTTATTGCTAATATATTTATACATATGTATGTACAAATATGTTGTGCACAGTATAAACTTGAGACATACATACAATAAATATATTTGTTTGCTTATATGTATGTACATATGTTTCTACTTATAAACGCTAGCAAAGTAGCATAATAATAATAATAAAAAAAGTTGCGACAGTTATGCTGAACTGTATCTAAGAGTAAGAGTAACTGCACTGATGCATGGGGTACACGACGAGGTCAGTGCAAATATTTAGGTGCAATAGTTGTTGCAAGTGAGCAGCAATAACTTTCCAACGGAATAATAACGGACACTTGTCAGTAAACGATTGTGGCAAGTGCACCGCATGTAGTATGACGGGTGTACATAAAAGTTGGGGTAAAAAAAAATCTATAAAATAAAGTTGCAGCATAGAAGAGTGCAAATAGAGCGGGTAATATGAAGTGTGTTGAATTTTGTAAAAGGGGGGAGGAGTACACTTAAGCACACAGTGTCATGGCTGTAGTGTACAACGAAAAGAAAAAAATGCGCATTATCGCTGTCAGCCAGCAGTTCAACTGAGTCGCAGTTGGTTGAAATGTTGCAATGAAATTTAACTATTTTTATTTACATACAATCAGCAGGAACGCGAACAAAGAAGCGGGGGAAAAATATAACAGTGAATGCAAAGTATTTGTAAATAAGCAAAGTAGTTATATGAGTAAATATATACTTGTATAATTATTTGTGAAACCAAGCGCTTGTCGCTGGACCAGTGAGAGATAAAGGAAAAAAAAAAAAAAAAAAAAAAAAAAAAAATTTGTACTTAAAAACAAATTTAAATGTAAAGCGTGAGTGAAAAGTGCTCAACTGTGGAAACATATCAAATATATGAAAAGTTAAAGCAGTCGAGCGATCGTGTTGCTCATACGCCTGGACGTGCTAACGATATCGACATAAAAAGTAAATTATATATAGCACCAGATAGTAAACTGAACTCAGTTGAGTGCTAAATAAATAGAGCTACTTATTTGCCCTCTTCAATCCCACCCTGATCCCTAACTTCCTCCCCAAACTAACGCCATAGCTTTAAACATCTAAGCCCCACCACACACGCGACGAGCATGGCCGCAGCTACCAGCGATTTCACCATAATCCGACGATAATCCCATGCAAAGTCGTTAGTGAACTTTTGTCAATAGAATAAAATAAATAAATAAACAAACATTCAAAAAAATATCATACAAATAAATAAATTTGATAAATTCAACTAAGGCGCAAGCTGCGGCAACTAACACAACCACAGCAAATGCTTAGTATCGCCATCCCACCAACGCTAATCCATGTTGAAGCAATTTCGTAGCATTGCATAAAACCCACAGCCAAAAGACTAGGATTCAAACTGGCTGCTGCTGATTGCTTTTTCCAAAAATATTTGTGCCAAACGCTTAGCGCAAAGTGCTAAGTGTTGTGCTGAGCGCCAAGACCTGCACACATACACATTCAAGGCACACGCCATGAGCCACCAGTTTCAAGTGAGCTATACCGCCCTTGAGATGACCGATGATAATCATCATGCTTCCTTTATGCCGTCGTTGGTGTCCTCATCATCGCCACGTACGGCGCGTAATGTCAACTTTCATGCCGAAATTAATGATACACCACCCACACCGCCACCCGGATTTCCACCACAACAATTGCCACCAGCACGCCGCACTTCGAAATCCTTCTTTCAGCGACCACGTTCGATGTCCGCTTGGAGTGATATTAGCCGGAGTAGTATGCGTTTGGATGAACGGTAAATATTAAAATATGAAACATGTATTAAGATATTCTTAGTTGTTTTATTATTTAATACATTTTAAATACAATTTCAAAGTAAGTACTTACAAATACAGGTTACAGCAACGCAAGCTTGTCCCATTGGCAGGTGAGCTTTTATTCTCTTTTTTTGTAGCTAATTTCAGTTTTCATTAGGGAGGTTGTTTACACTAGGTCGTTTAATAAACGAATTTGATGTTTATCGAATACAATTTAGAACGTAGTGTAGCGCTTCGAAAAAGATAGTAGAAGAAAAATTTTGTACTAAGAGAACTTGCTTGTTACTTTTGCTGTTAAGATTTTACAAAACTAACCCTCAAATTCTTTAAAAGCGTCTTCTAAATGCTAGAAGAAACTTTGTACAATGGTGCAAAATTTTGAGTTTGAGTTAAGTGGAGAGTTCTTTGCAGAAGACTCCACTTCCAAACTTTCCATTCAATATCTAGTCGTCCATTGTCATTAATAATAATAACACAGGCCAACAAAAATCGTCGTTTAAAGTACAAAACAGCTTATCAACAAAATGCAAAACCGCGTATGTGAGGTTGCATAAATTATTTTCTAGAGAGTAAAAACACTCATATTTGTCGATTTTGTTGTCGATATTGTTATCTATTTTGTTATCGATATTATTATCTATTTTGTAATCGATATATTTAGGGATTTCGTTATCGATATAGTTATCGATTTGGTTATCGATTTTGTTAACGATATTTTTATCGATTTTGTTATCGATTTTACTACCAATATTGTTATCGTTTTTGCTGTCGATATTTTTATCGAATTGTTATCGAAATTTTTTTCGGTTTTTTTATTGATATTTTGGTGGATGTTACTATCGATAGAGTATGGAGATAAAGTGAATATAAAGGAAAACAGAAAAACATAAATGTAATTAGAACCAACAGAAAAAAGACAAAAAATATAACCTTAAGCTACATACATGAGTATATTGGTTATGAGACAAAATAGTTACGTAACGTAAGCTTTTCTTCTCCACTGTGGCCATTCTTACTTACTTTTTTTTTATATCACAATTTTCCAGTATTTTTTTATTGTTGTACGAGGGACAGAGCTTCTCAAGTATTGCACAAAACGAAATTTCTTAAAACTTCGTTTTTCACAAAATCTGGAGCTGATGGAAACTGTATACTTTCGTTCTCGTAATCAGCACAAAAAAGTCTATAAAAGACTCGTTAACATTTGCTACATCAAAATCAGTGTTGTCCTGTGTAATAGTTTGTGCTAAAACATTTTGCAAAGTGTTTGGCCGAGCTTCTCCTCCAATCTTCGCATGCNTTTGATATCACAATTTTCCAGTATTTTTTTATTGTTGTACGAGGGACAGAGCTTCTCAAGTATTGCACAAAACGAAATTTCTTAAAACTTCGTTTTTCACAAAATCTGGAGCTGATGGAAACTGTATACTTTCGTTCTCGTAATCAGCACAAAAAAGTCTATAAAAGACTCGTTAACATTTGCTACATCAAAATCAGTGTTGTCCTGTGTAATAGTTTGTGCTAAAACATTTTGCAAAGTGTTTGGCCGAGCTTCTCCTCCAATCTTCGCATGCTATTTTCAGGTAAAAAAAAGATTAAAAAACGTTACTTTTGAAGATCTGTTTTGAGGTGAAGGTAATTTTTAGTTCATCACATCTTTAAAATGACCTTCAAAAGTAAAATTGTCTATTTCATTTAATAGCTGCTTTTCAGGGATTTAAAAACCATAATTTTCTACGAAAAATACTCATATAAAAACCACTTTCCTTATAAAAGAGAATGATCGTAAACAGCTTACGTGGTCCAAATTCGCCGGTAGCATAGGACAAAAAAACAGTCCACTGCATTGATAACCTTTCTACTTTTATCGAAATCGGTTAAAACTATTTAAAAACGTTTTTCGGTTCCTGCAAGTATGGAAATGGATTCCTTGATGCAAAATCTGTTTAAAATTTTTCAAAAGTTCATGGCATACTGGTTTGAGGAGAAAAAATTTAAAACATACATTTAAATTACATTTTCAAGATTAAGGTAATTATTTTATCCAAGAAGACTATTTTTCCCGAATTCCCCATCTTAAAAGCTTTAAATACCATAACATTTATTTCGCTACTTTTAGCGTTCTTGGGGTATTTGTTATCGTTACTTTCTTCCTTAAATAGAACACTGTGCACGTCGTAGGAAAAAACTTCTTCTAGATTATATGTGGCTGGACCAGTTATTGAACCCAGGTCCCATGCAGTGGTAGTACGCACCTTTAACCATTCAGCCGCATTTTCCGTCATATTNGTGTGCTAAAACATTTTGTAAAGTGTTTGGCCGAGCTTCTTCTCCAATCTTCGCATGCTATTTTCAGGTAAAAAAAGATTAAAAAATATTACTTTTGAGGATCTGTTTCGAGGTGAAGGTAATTTTTAGTTCATCAGATCTTTAAAATGACCTTCAAAAGTAAAATTGTCTATTTCATCTAAAAGCTGCTTTTAAGGGATTTAAAAACCATAATTTTCTACGAAAAAATACTCATATAAAAACCACTTTTCTGATAAAAGAGAATTATCGTAAACAGCTCACGTGGTCCAAATTCGCCGGTAGCATAGAACAAAAAAACAGTCCACTGCATTGATAACCTTTCTACTTTTTTCGAAATCGGTTAAAAATATTTAAAAACGTTTTTCGGTTCCTGCAAGCAATGGAAATGGATTCCTTGATGCAACAACTGTTTAAAATTTTTCAAAAGTTCATGGCATACTGGTTTGAGGAGAAAAAATTTAAAACATACATTTAAATGACATTTTCAAGATTAAGGTAATTATTTTATCCAGGAAGACTATTTGTAACCGAATTTCCCATCTTAAAAGCTTTAAATACCATAACATTTATTTCGCTACTTTTAGCGTTCTTGGGGTATTTGTTATCGTTACTTTCTTCCTAAAATAGAACACTATGCACGTCGTAGGAAAAAACTTCTTCTAGATTATATGTGGCTGGACCAGTTATTGAACTCAGGTCCCAAGCAGTGGTAGTACGCACCTTTAACCATTCAGCCGCATTTTCCGTCATATTTTTCCATTATTTTGCTTTTAGGGAAATTTTCGGAAAGGCCTGAAATTACATATACGCGTATGGGCTAGAGTGTTAAAATGTTTCCGAGAACATATTCCTAGGTCAATTTGAGTGTAGTTTACTTAAGATTAGGCGCACCCTTAACTAAGTTTTACACATGATTTTTTATATATCTTAGTTTGATGTTTGACTATGAAATTCAAATTTCAAACCACTGCAAATAAAATTGTGGCGTACTGGCGCAAAAAGAGTTTTGGGATTTTGTTATTGATGTTTTGACTTACCCCACTCTTTTCAACTATGTAATTTCCACTTTGCAGAAAACAACGTAGTATTAAATGCATAAATGGAAGCTTAGCAAATCAGGTAGAAAAGTATTAAATTATTCTGCTAAAAATAAATATCTTCCCTTGCGGATGACAAACAATGAGTGACATCTTCTAATAAATACCTGCCGAATATAAAGGCATCCTAAGCCGGTAAACTGTCCACTGAGTTGTCATCTCAACGCTACCATTCAATACAATACCCTCACCACCTTTGTGTCAGTACCAAAAATATGTCAAGAATTTCGATGTATCAGCTATCAACCAATCTGCCTCAACGTTGATATCACTAACTATCAACAACAAAGTCAGTCAAAATATTTCTGACTGCCATTGTTTAAGCATTGTGTGCACTAGCAATCTCCACCACTAAGTCCACTCGGCCGTAGCTCATAAGCGCAGCTTGCTGTCAATTACGGTTAATGGAGTGAAGCACGAATTATGTATGTATGTATGTATGTATGCATATACCAACAACCTCACTCACTTGTACATGCCTTATGCTGCTATGTACATACTAGACTCCTGCGCAATTCCATTTAAACGGCCCAACAAGACATCCGATCGCCGCGCAAATACTTTCCATCCCCTACTTTCATCGTTCGGGTCAATTGTGAGTAAGCATAAACCAGTTTCAGCAAGCGTACGTAAACTACCGATCAATAGCAACACGCGTAGAGTATTTACTTTGCCTTCCGCAACTACTGCGAGTAAAAGGTATTTGACAGTAGAGTACTCTACTGGTAGTACTTGAGTATTTTCGAAGAAAACATACATTTGTGGCAAGAATGATAGAAGAATTTTCTGGATCGCGCATTTGTGGTATCTGAAAAAAACTAAGGACAGGAATGTAGTGGAGCGATGAAGAGAGCGACGAGCAAAACGNCAGACTCATCGAAATTCCAACGTCATTCACTTCAAATTCCCACACTAATTGAGTATCTATCCAATGCGGTTGTGTGGCAAGCTGCAAGTAGAGGGTGTTTTCGGCCGACCGGCGGCTGTAGCGCGAATGCCATTGGCAGTGTTCAAGTATTGTCGTTAAATATTTTAAGCTACTAATTAAAACACTGTAGCTTTTTTGACATTTTGCTATGAGCAAAAAAAAAAGAAAAAAACTCGGTGGAATTCTTTCGTGAAATATTGTCATTTAAACTTATTTGTTATTATACGAGTAAGCTTTTTTTTGTTGTTGAACAAAGCGCTGGCTATGAGTGACGTGTTAATTTATTTGCACTGTGGTTTTTAATTTAATTGCTACTTGGGTGGTTTAGCTGTGGGAGAGTACTGTATTTCATATTTCCATGAATGGCAGGCATTGTGGCATGGAATTTAATTTATACGATTTTTATATCGTGACGGGGGCAGCGTTCGTATATGCTTTGATGCTTCGTCCTTCTCTGCTTGCTTTACAGATTTTCTTCCGCAATTTCGCAAAAGAACAGAAGTGTACGTGGTACATTTTATCTTATCTTCGGCAAATAATCGGAAAGGCTTATAGACTTAGTTATCCAAAAATCATAGTATATTGCAAATACACTCGAGATGGGGACGAAAAAAAAAATTTAAACAATAGTAACAAGAGAGGA